ATTGTAGACTCAGGCTATAAAGTGGTACAGTGGTACCTTGGAATGCGAACGGGATCCGTTCCGGAGCCCCGTTCGCATCCTGAACAGAACGTAAGACGTGACTGCACATCTGCGCGTGTGCGGGTCGCGTTTTGCCACTTCTGTGCATGTGCTTGACGTCATTTTGACGGTCTGCACATGTGCGAGCGGAAAAACCCGGCAGTACCGTGCTCCATTACTTCCACATCGCCGCAGAGTTCAACCCGAAAATACTTATCCTGAAGCATATTTATCCCGAGGTATGACTGTATATACATGTGTGTAAATAAACCATATATCCTAAAGACACCACAGCCTCTTCTGTTTCTCATTCTGAGGAAACCGAACCCTGGGTAAGCTCCTGGAACCTCTGGGTGGGCTGTTCAGTGTGGTATTCCAGGACTCTCTGTCTGGCCCCCAAGGACTTCTCCCTCACTGGCTCTGCTTCACACCTGCCTTGAGTGTTTTTTTCCTGGCTGGAATATGGCCTAGAACTCTGATCATACCTCTTGCTTCCCTGGACAGAACATGAGGCGGGGCCTGTGAATGTGTGTAAACTAGCGTACTGTACAAAGATGATATTTACATCAATTGCTCCACCCATTTTTACCTCTAGCCCCACCCACTCTTTGCACATGGGCCCAAGAAAAATGCAGAGCAGGGAATGCCGTCCTCAGAGTTCCTTGAGCTTGCCGTAAGGTGTTGTTTAGGCTAACCAAACTCTACTGCACACTCCTTGGTTTTGATGATATCTGTGGTACAGTGGTACCTCGGGTTAAGAACTTAATTTGTTCTGGAGGTCCGTTCTTAACCTGAAACTGTTCTTAACCTGAGGTACCACTTTAGTTAATGGGGCCTCCTGCTGCCGCTGCGTCACCGCCGCATGATTTCTGTTCTCATCTTGAAGCAAAGTTCTTAACCTGAGGTACTATTTCTGGGTTAGCAGAGTCTGTAACCTGAAGCGTCTGTAACCTGAAGTGTCTGTAACCCAAAGTACCACTGTATATCCTTTGGAAGATCATTTACCTGATCTTCCCACAAAGAGAGTTGCCAGTATCTTAACTGCTCCTGCTCCTGTGCAGCAGAACATTTCTCATCAGCTGTTTCAATGCCAGGAATAAAGCCATCAGCCTGTCTGCTTGAATTCTATGTGTCAGGCTGGTGTCAGAAACATGGGAGTTTGGGGCTGTCGTTTTTTCTTAAAGTGGAAATTCCACAGACTGATCTGAGTAGCTCAGAGGACTGAGCGAACCGACCTCACCAGGAGCACCCTGCAAACTTCAGGAGCAAACATTCAAACAGGCAAGCACCTTTAGAGCGTGTTCATTTTTAAAGTGTTGTTAATACCCAGATGGCACACTTTTCATCACTGTAAAACGGTGCTGAGTTGACAGAAAGCATGCTGAGCACTCCACAAAAACAGGAACACCTCCACGCAACCTCATACTTAAGCCAGATTCAGGTAATATGCTGTTAGTGTCCCGCCAGGATCAATTTAAGTCTGCTAAGCTGTGGATTCTCTGGTTCACTGTTGTTGTTGCTTTTGATTTTTAAAAAAAATCCTGCTGAGCAAGTGCTTGAACAAGCACACACTCAGATGCACAGAAGTAAGAATAATGAAATGAAAAGCATTGTAGATATCACAGCAAATAGCCCCCAATGCATTAAACAGTCTTAGGAGTTTTTATACTCTTTCCTTGATTTTCAGTTTTATTTTGCATAAAATGTAAATGCTGAAGATTAGAAATGGGCAAATATGTCAGTTTTTGGTTTCTCTGTTTTCTCATTGTCACAGTCTTAAGTTCACATTTTGACATCACTTTGCTTTAAGTGCAGAAGAAAAAATATCAGCATTTTAGTGAGAATTTTTTCTAATAGATATCGTTTTTGCAAAGCAAATTTCCCCAGTATAATGTGTTTTGGATGTTATTGTACTAATGCATTTCCATGCACACTTTAACCTAATGCAGGTGTGAGGAATCTATTATGGTCCTCCAAATGTTGGTGAACTACAACTCTCACAATCGCTGGCCATTGGCCATGCTTGCTGGGGCTGATGGGAAGAACAGCATTGCAAAATCTGGAGAAATGCGAATTTTAAGGGGTTGCTGTGTTTCTGTTCTTGTATTGTTTCAGAAAAGATACATTCAGTAAATTTGCCTTGAAATGCAAACTGGATCCAATTTTCTTTCCCCTGCTAAAGATGGAGGGGAAATAAATGCATAATGGAAAAAAGCCAAAGCTACACGGGAGGACCTCTGTGGAGCTCTGAAATAGAAAGGGAAAATTGGGAACCTAAGAAGATTGAGAAAGCACAGTCCAGCCAATTAAGCCCTTAGCAGTCCGCCTTATGTTGATTGAAGGCTAAACTAAAGCTTAGCTCCACCTGGACCAGGAACATAAGGAAGTGCCCTCTACCAAGTCAAACCATTGGCCCATTTAGCTTAACATTGTTTACACGAACTGGTAGCAGCTCTTCAGGATTTTAGATCAGGATTTCTCCCAGCCTTAGGTGGAGATTCCAGGGATTGATTCAGGGACTTCTGCATGCAAAGTAGAGGCTCTCTCACAGACTCATAGTGTTTTCTTAAGGTAGGAACAGTCCTAGATTCCGGGGAGGGAACCCCAGGTTCGATAAGGTATATAACCTTCTGACACCTCCCACTTATGCAAGTTTAGTGTCATTTCAGCTACGTAAGGACTGGCACTCAGAAGATTGAACTTGCAGTTATTATGCAGAGCAGGGGCCACTAACCCCTTTGGGCCAGTCGGCACTCTGGGAATTTTGAGAAAGTGTTATAGCTGCCTGTCACCAAATTGCTACTGTGAGGGAATGGTGTGGCACAAAATGGCTGCTATGAAATTGTGGCATGGGTTCAAAGTGCGTGCCATATCTAAAAGAGCGCCAGAAGAGAGAGGACCACCAGGTGCTACAGACATCACTTCCCATTAGCACTCATCAATGAAGAAATAAAAGGCAGCTATTTGATTACATAGAGAAGTTATTTGCACCTCTGTTCAGAATGCAAAGGAGTGTGGATGTCCAGTCCTGGCATTCAGTGAAATAGGAGCATGCTTAAGGGGACATGTTGAATTGGGGAGAGAGGCTGAGCCACTGCAACCAGCAACTGAGCCCGCAGAACAAACAGTCTGTTCCGCATTGTGGATTCTGCAGGTAATATGGGTGGGCAGACTGGGCACCATGTTGGCAGCTCCTAATATAGAGATTCCTCCTTGATGCTAATGAGGAAAAGCAATGGCACTTCTGGTCATTGTTTCATTGACCCCAGGTGCTCCAGAAATGCAGTGTGTCAGGTGTCTGTCTGTGTGCACATACTGCACCCCTCCAAATACCCCACAATAGGTAGCTTCTTCTTTCAAACACCCCACCATCATAAATGGGAGGCATGTGGATCTTTAATAAAATGACAGAGGAGCTTTAAATCCATGTGCTGGTTCTCTAGCACATGGGTAGGCAAACTAAGGCCCGTGGGCTGGATTTGGCCCAATCGCCTTCTCAATCCGGCCCCAGACAGTCCGGGAATCAGTGTGTTTTTACATGAGAAGAATGTGTCCTTTTATTTAAAAATGCATCTCTGGGTTATTTGTGGGGCATAGGAATTCGGTCCTTTATTTATTTTTTTCAAAATATAGTCTGGCCCCCCACAAGGTCTGAGGGACAGTGGACTGGCCCTCTGCTGTAAAACTTTGCTGACCCCTGTTCTAGCGTACCCCAGCTGGTTACAGACAGCATAATTGCACTGATTCTTTATGCAGTGTGTGTGTGTGTGTGTGTGTGTGTGTGTGTCAGAGAGAGAAAATAGATGAGCCGGATGTCATGAGGATATTTACATGGGCACTTAGCCAGGAAACAGTGTTGTGTTTTCCATAGATATGCTTCTTTAGGGAGGGTATCTCATCTGAATGTTTCAAGTTTCCTCTGCAGTCCTTCCTATAGGGAAGGTAAATTCGACAGAATTCTATGCCTACAAACTGGGGGACCCTGGGGGAGAGAAAGAAAGTCCATTTATGCCAGACTATGCTATTGAATTTAAAACTGAATGCTGTTCATTTCGTTTACAGTAATATTGTATGATACATGAGGGCTACCTCCCTCTAGTTATTTCACTTTTTAAAAACAAAACAAAAACAAATAACAAAAACAAGGAAAGATATTCTTAAGAAGAAACTGAACTGCTGGAGAATCACGGCATTGAAAAACCAAGCATTAAAAACCTACTTAGAAACATCCTCCCATTAATACCCCTTATAAAATCTTGTATCACATCCCTAAACCTCCTCGACTGACTTGGAAATGAACCAGATTTGATTTCACTGAGTGGCGTTTGCTTACACGTAAGAAGGCTTAAAGTTGTGCAACAAGGCATCCTGACCCTATGTGTGGGGCTTAACTTCCAGGGAAGCGTATATAGGATTGCAACCCTGGTGTGAGGGAGAGGCATTTTGGCTTGCCTTGGTGTGTGTGTGTGTGTGTGTGTGTGTGTGTGTGTGTGTGTGCAGAATAAAGTATGAACTGCTTTCTTTTTTACATGCAGCTGAGGTTGCAGGCTAAGATCCCTTAGGATGATAGCGTAGCTCTACACTGCTGCTTGCATGAGTGTGTGTGAGCTGAGCCACCGGGTAGTGTAATAGCAGATGCTTGCCTGCGCTAAGCTGATTTACTTGTTTAAGATCTGACCTCATCATTCTGTCAGGATGGATTCCCACCTATACAGTTAGGAAGATCTTAGCAGAACTGTCCGCGACATACAGAGGAAGCCTCAGTGAGAGAAAGGGAAGGACAAGTATTAAGAACACAAGCATTTCTTCCTTTCGTTCCTTATTTTGGAGAGGATGAAGCGGAGGCATTGAAAAACACAGGAGACGAGCACAGGGTCTGTTTCCTTTCTGGAACAACAGGATTTTTTTTGTAGCAGTGTTTTCCTTCTCTCTTTCTCTTTCCCCTTCCAAAACTTGTGAAGATGTCAGTCTCGGGGAAGAAGGAATTTGACGTGAAGCAGATCTTGAGGCTCCGCTGGAGATGGTTCAGCCACCCCTCTCAGAGTTCCACAGGCACCGGAGGTTGCCTGCAGCAGGAAGGATATGAGCATAGAGGGACACCAGTTCAGAACAGGCTGAAGAGCCACTCGCGGGACAGAAATGGGCTGAAGAAAAACAACAGCCCAATACGACACAACATCTTGGCGCCAGTGCCCGGACCGACCCCAGTGCCCCACCGGCCGATCCAGACTTGGCCTGAGCAGCAGAACTTCATCGAGCACCTGCAAGCCACAGAGCAGGTGCCGAAAGCTGTCAGAGAGGAGGAAGGTGACAAAGAAGAGCTGGACAGAAAGGTGCAGGAGCTGCAGATGATCACAGAGGAGAGCAAGGATGAGTCCGTCGAGAGGTGGGTGATTTAGAGGGCAGCGCTGAGGAAAATCAGCTGCATGTTATTGCTGTTATTAATGGTCATTGTTTGTAGTTATTGCTAACATTGTTGTTGTTGTTATATATAAAAAGTGCCACCAATGTGCTCAGCACATTGCAATGCACAAGAGAACAAGTCCCTGCCTGGAGGAACTTACAGTGTAAAATATGACATGGCAGGGGGTGGGGGGTGAGAGAGGAATGGCAGAGTAATCGAAGCAGACAGGGTATCCATGTGCATTTATTTTGGTTGCATGTACTTATACTTGGTTACAGCAGGGTAGGGAAAGGGCCTAAACCCAGTGGTAAGGCATCCACATGCAGAAGGTTCCAGGTTCCATTCCCAGCATCCCCAGGCAGGGCTGGGAATACCCCCTGCCTAAAATTTTGGAAAACTGCTGCTAGCCAGTGTAGACAATACAGTGGTACCTCGGGTTAAGTACTTAATTTGTTCCGGAGGTCCGTTCTTAACCTGAAACTGTTCTTAACCTGAAGCACCACTTTAGCTAATGGGGCCTCCTGCTGCCGCCGCACCGCCGGAGCACAATTTCTGTTCTCATCCTGAAGCAAAGTTCTTAACCTGAATCACTATTTCTGGGTTAGCGGAGTCCGTAACCTGAAGCATATGTAACCTGAGGTACCACTGTACTGAGCCATATGGGCCAGTGGTCTGACCTGGCATATAACAGCTTCCCTTTTCCCCAGTTAAGGGTTTGTGAGCCTAAAGTTTAATGAGAAAGGTGAGCTTTGGCCTAAACTGCTTACTCTTTCTTTCTCCCCCAACTCTCTCTCTTCTTAAATAAACCTTACTCTTGCTGTTGTCTTGGAAATGAATATACTGTCCAGTTCTTAGGAAGCATGCTTTGTTTCATTTTAAAAAATTGCTGGGGCTTTTTAACCCTAAGTGAATGAAACCCCTTCCTCTAAAATTCACACACATCACACTGTGCTAAATACTGCTATTTTGTGTGTGTGTGAATGGCGTTTCCTGTTTATAAGATGCAGCCCCCACCAAGGAACAAGGTCCTTTGTGTTTCACCTTGTTTTTACTCCCACCCCCTTCCCCTCTGACACTTCCCTGAGAATTTTCAGTAGCTTCTGTAGAGCGTGTTAATTTGTCTTCAGATAAATGAACCAGCTCAAAACCTTCCCTTTCCCGTGACTTTATCAATAAGTTCAAACTCTGATGAATGGAAAACGTTGGGACACACACAGACACTGCCACCAGTCCTCTTTGTTGCTGCTGTTTATTGCCTCATTGATGAATATAATTAACCTTGAACCATACTGGGAATTGGCAAGGAGCTTCTTAAAGGTTTATTTTAAAATTGCAGTAATCTCACCCGCAGCTTGCTGAAGGGAGAGAACTGAGGGCAGTCATGCACACTTGCTTGGGAGTACTATTAAACTAAATGCTTGACGGCGGGGGCAGTGGGTGCGGGGGGGGGGAGACGGGACACTTGCTTGTCAGGGATTGATATGCTGGATTGACCTGTAAGTCCTAAACACACATGGAAGCTGATCCTCTAGGAATAAGTTCCCTTGTGTTCATTTGAACTAACTACTAACCCAGTGTAGACAAGGCTGCGACCTTTCTAAGTAAAATGTCACTGAAAATGAGCAGGAAAGCGTTAGAGTTCAGATTTAGGATGGGAGTGACTTCTTGTGAGAAACTGATAGCAACTGATAGCAACAAGGGCCAAAAGCAAGAAACGGGGACGGTGGTGGAAATGTGGTTCCAGAAGTAATTTGTTTTTAAAAACAGTATGTTGTAGTGGTTGGAGTGTTGGGACAAGAAACCTGAGAGGTCAGGGGTCAAATTCCTTCTCAGTCCTGAAGCTCACTGGGTGACCTTGGGCCAGTCACTTTCTCTTAGCCTAACTTACCTCACAGAATTGCTGTGAGAATATTTATTTAGTTCAGTCAGGATGCAAATGTATTTGCTCCAATACAAACTGTACATGTATTGCAAAAAATATATATAATTTTAGTCTCCGGCATTTTTTCATGCCAGGGAAAAAGGAATCCTGTTTGACAACCTGCATTTTAAAAAATTGCTTCTCATTTCTCCAGCTTGTGATGTGTAGCAATCCTGATTTGTTCAAATCTATGTCTGGGCAAGTTGAACAAAAGGCACGTTGGCATATTGAAATCTATAGAGGATTCATTAAGTGCCTGACACCAGTGTACTTTTTGCACTGATGCCAACAAGAATGCAGAAACATACTCAGTAATGGAATTTCCCTTGTGAAGTCTGATTCTATACACCTTTACTGATAAGTGTTCAATGGAGGCCAATGGGGCTTACTTCCAAGTAAGTGTATGAGAGAGCATAGTTTGAGCAGGGACTTTGAGCATGAAGAACAACAAATATGGTGGACACAGTGGAAACTGCTATACTGTCCTCAGCTTGCATGACTTCTTCCTTATGGCCTTTCTAAGGGTAGCACTGCTTACTAGCTTTCTACTCCTTATATCTCAAAAGAGAAGAGGATGGGGGACAAACAAGAATTACTTGACTCCACCTAGCAGCCCAGATACGCACCAACCACCATTGGCTGGAAAGATCCCTTTCTCTGCTGGTAGCTGACTAAAGTTGGGCTGAAATTCTCAGAAAAACAATTTTATCAGAATTTCTTTGAATTTTTCGTTTTCTGAACTGTTGGAAAAGGTTGATTCTCCCCTGGAGAATATTCAACAAAATGGCCTCCTCAATTTCTTAATCCAATAACTGGATGGAGAATTTCAGCTCCTGCTAAGCACCCCCAATGTTCATATTGTTGAATATTCAGTAATTCAGTAATATTAAATAAAGCATTGGGTACACCTTCCTTCTCCTGGTCCTTTTCTCCTGGACAATTGCTTCCTTCCTCTATCAGAATGAATGAGCAACAGTCTCATTTAGCATTAACCTGAATCAAAATGTCTCAAAAGAGAATTTTCTGGGAATTCTTTTTGCTACCACAAAACCTGTTAGAGAATTCCACATCCCTCCCAGAGATTAATCTGAATATCCTCCTCCCCAGTCTTGCCTCCCACAATAAGGGTGGAAAATTTTGGGAGGCCAGTTTTGCCCATCAAAACTCAACAAGTCAATATAGTCATCACTGCTGGGATGCCTTCAAAATTGTGTGGAGTCTGGCCTTCCTTTGAGAGTCTCTCCATATATCCTACAGCAGCTGTCAGGAATATTGAACAGGGACATGGAAAAGTCACTGTGTGAGAACAATTCCAGGCACTAAGTACTTCCAGTTGTAATGGACCTGGCATGGGGAATCATAAGAAGCTGCTTTGTACCACATCAAGGTAGTTGTCCACCCAACTTGGATTGCCTACTTTGACTACTCAGAATGAGGTCCTCCTCATTGACTGTTTCTGGATCCTTTCAACTGGAGTCCCTGGGAATTAGGCCTTGAACCTTCAGCATGCAAAGTGTGCTCTCTTCCTCTAAGCTATAGCCCAACTTAGAAGCCCCTCAGAGTCTGTGGAGGAGGTCCTTTACATTTCCTGCTTCCTGCTCATTTTAACTGGAGGTCCTGGGGGGTGAACCCAGGATCTTCTGTGTGTAAATTGATGCTGCCCTATCACTAAACTATGGTCCCTACCTGGATAGGGCAGCATCACTGTGTTTTGCAGTATCTGTGTTTTGAAACCCTAAAACATCTTTCCTCTGGATTGGAGAAGTAAACAGCAACAGTCTTTCCAGCTAGGGGCTTCAACAAAGGGATCAGAATGGGAAGTTGTTTCCAATTACTAGGCAGGAAAGAAAACCTGTCACTAAAGCAGTGTGTTGTTGTTGTTGTCATTGGTAGTGGTGGTGGTGAAGAAGAGGCTCCAGGTAGATTCCCATATGTGTGTCATGGGCTGGTTGGATGAAGAGGAATGGTGGGAGGAACTAGCTGGAGAACTTCCAGGAAAGGAAGACTCAGAGCCCAGGGATTGGTGGTGGAATGATGATGAGTGGTCAGAGGGAGAAGAGGGAGAAGACAGGGAAGAGGAGGTGTCAGGTGCTGAAGAGGTAACAGGGCTGAGTGAGCTAGGAGAGTCTGTGGTAGAGAGAAGCCCAGAATCAGAGGCAGAAGCTGAAGCAGGAGAAGAGGCAGGCCAAGAGGCAGAGGTGAGTCCGGCTGGTGAAGAGTCACAGGTGTCTCTTCCTCTTGCTATGACAAGCTCCCCTTCCCCCCGGTCTCCCAGAACCAGAAGAGGCATGAAAAGGGCAGAGGAGTGGTTGGCTTCATGCAGGCGCAGTATCTGATTGCTTGGAAAAAGCCTGAGGAGGTGGACACTTTCAGTCTTGGCAACTGATTTTCATGGAAGAAGACCACTGGGAATGAGCTGCTCTGCTCATTAAGCCTGACAGTCAAGTCTGTGGAGATCCTTCTTTTTGCTAATAAAGTTAACTATCCTGAACTGTGTGATTACAGACACAGCACACTCCTGTGACAATGTGTGAGAAAAGCCTGATCACTGAGCTATGGCCATGACCCAGCAACTGCTTTAGAACCTGAAAGTTCTAATTGGTTCCCATTAGCAGCTCAATAGGACTGGTAGGCAGGGAGACCAACAGCAGGTGAAGGCAGAGCAAAGGAAGGCAGAGAAAACTGATTTATTGTTTTGTTCCTGGCCTCCTCTATCCTGAGTTGCACAAGGGAAATGCTGAGAATGAGGAAGCACCAGAGGATAAGCAGTGACATCCCTTTGACTGGTTGTAAGCCAGGAGACAGGCAGGTGAGCAGGCTGAGGTTGGTGGGGCACTTTGTCCTAATGGACCAGCCTCCACTGTTAAGCCCCCAGCAGATCTATCCTCTGTGAAAACAGCCAGTAAAAGGGCCAGTATTAAAAATGGCCAGAGGGTTAGACATGCTAGCCATGTCGCTTCTTAAACATTAACTCATTTATTATGACACATGCTTCTTCAACCAGATCCCCGCTTCATCAGATGCATGAAGTGTTATCCTCACTTGGCATATGTATGGGTGCAGAAGGGGGCAGAAAAAAAAAGGAGAGAAGTGAACACTGGTATCAAATGTCCCAAAATGCAAAAAGTACTGTCTGTGACCATCTGCTTGAAGTTTAAAAGCATGTGGTGCAAACGCAAGCTGTTTGTACATTGCATATTTTTCGACTGGGTGTTTTATTCTGTTTTGCAGTGTTAAAGTTAGTGATTGTCTGCGTTACAATGCAAGAAGGGGATGGGTGAGAAAGTGGAAGGCATAATAGTATTTAACATTCCCGCACCCAGCAATTAAGGGTCAGGGTATGGCACTTCTCATCTGCTGCCTAGCTTCCCCAAATCGTGATGACACATGTCTAGCGTCTCTCATGAACTTCACCAAATGACAAATACAGGGATTGTGAACTCATCTAATGGGAACTGTTTGAATCACAACCTCTTTCTATCAAGGATTCGTGACTGTCAGGATTGACTGGGCGTTGCGTTTTTCATGTCCTTGTCAATGACTATCTTCTCATTACCATAGAATATGGTGTTCTTGCCTCTAAAATGTCTAGTGTTTTGACAGACATTCTAGGCATTTTTTTTTAACTGAGTGGCCAAATTTCCCTCCCCTGTGGTTTGGATCCAATGATGACACAATACAAGTGGAAGACTATTCTATTCATAGAAGAGCTGAAGGGGAGGGTATGATGTCCAAAATTCCCTATTACAGCTGCAACCTGCCACCTCCCCTATAATAATTTTGGATAACTCCCTCACCACCAGGAGAAGCTTCTCAAACAGTGTGCATGCTTGGCAGGCAGAAGGTCACAGGTTTGATCTGCAGCATCCCCAGGTAGGGCTGGGAATGGCCGTTGTCTGGAGAGCCACTGCCAGTCAGTGTAGACAGTATTGAGGTAGATGGACAAATGCTCTCACTTGCCACAAAGCATCTTCTTATGTTCCTAAAAAAACCCTGTTGCATAAGAGGAACTCTGCTCATGAGAAGGCAAAGCTGTGTTGGATCAGACAAGGGTATATAAATTCCAGCCTCTTGATGCCCTCTTGATGGCTATCAGATCCTTTCCAGGAAGGTCACAATCCCCCAAGGTGAGAGCCTTCCATGCTGTGGAATTCATATTCAGTGGTATTCTCTTCTTGTAAATGGAGGCTCTGTTCAGCTTCCATAGCTAGCAACTTTTGCTAAACCTCGTAGTACTTAGGCTCCATTTGTGTGCCCATCTAACAAATGCTTCTCATTGCCTCCCCAAATAGTCACCATGCTCAATGTATTTATCAAATATTCCAAGACTGAAATGGTCAAGTGTAGAACCTTTTCTTACCCCACGCAAGAAGGAATCAGTAGGCTTGCAAGAGGCTCAGACTTTGCAGAGGGAAGAAACGCCTAAGGGTGGAAAATCTTGAAAAGCAGCTTAGTGGGGACTGAGCATGCTCAATGGGAACGGAATGCTAATTCTTGGGGAAATGGAAATGGAACTCTGGGGAGGGGGAATAGAATGGAATGACACATCCAGAAAGCGGATGCGACCCACCGACCGTCTGGAATCAGGAACGGCAACATTTCATTATTGCTGCTCCTGTTGTTTTTGAGTACATTATGAATGTAGATGGCACTTTAATACAGGGCTGGCAAATCTAGATATCATTGGACTACAGATCCCACCACCCCAGACCATGGCCATGGAGGGTCCCAGGTCCCCCATCTCTGCTGTAAGGGAAACAAATGGCTGCGTCAAGGAGCTTACAGTCCAGACTTCGACAGTTGCCTCTCTATTGCCTTTGCTGTTATTCTGAACTGACACTTTAATTCGGGAAATATACCTTGAGCACAGGGAGAAATATTCTGGCATTTAAACTTATGACCTAGACTTGGGAGTACAGCTTTTGTCTCTACGAGTGTTTATTTGCTACAGGTGTTGAAGCTGTTTCCGTAGAACTGGGGCTGCTAGGTAGGCTGGAGGGCCATGAACCTGATAGAGACGAACCACACAATAAGCCCATTGATGTAGGAACCCTCTCTGGCACCCAGGGCGGGATGCTAAGGGGCAGGGCGAATCGCCCGGTGACGCATGCACGACGTCCGTATGGACTGCGCATGTGCGGCATCCCATACGGAGTGCACACATTTACAAACTTTGCATGACAGTGCAGAATATTGCCAGTGAGAAGTGGCTCCAAGCAGTGAGTATGAACGACATTGGCCAATTCCGATTTCAGGATGGTCCTTTCCGGCCATTGTGAGCCCTCCAGGATTTTGCTGCCTGCAGAATTGCCCATTTAAATTTCAAGTCACATCTGCACTTTCTATGCAGATGACATTGAACCGGACCACTAACTAGCAGTGTAAGCTTATTCCAGGCTCACACAATGACTTCCAATCAGCGTCGCCTAAATAAGGTCAGGGTCGGCTATACAGAAAATCATTAAGCTTCCTCCGAGTCGGCAGACTTTGGGTGCGAGACTGACAAGGTGAGATGCACACAGCTTGCCTTCAGAAAAGGTGGTTTGGGAGCTTTGGCAGCCTTAGCTCTTTTCACCACCACTATCACCAAATCTGTAGTTTATTAATGTTTTTATCCAGAGCTATATCAATAAAAAGGAGAATAATGATAACTGAAGGCAGAATAGAGAACTGCAGCAACGGGGAGAAACTCCCATCACCCCTGACCACTGGACAAGTTCAGTGGGAGCTGAAGTCCAACTGTATCTTGAGATTCACCATCAGACCGAGAAGCTTGAAAAAATAGCTATCTCTCGTCTCTTTTTTGGTGATACCAAATTCACAGGGGAAAAGAAAAGAGGCTTCTAATAGTTGAATTTTCTCCTTACTACTGTCTTGGACTTGTTGAATTACCAACAAATCTGATTTTAATTTTTTTAGATAAATGTGAATATAAGGAACAAAACAGAGGAGGGAAATAGGTGAGAAGGAGAGAGATGAAGAATAAAGATTTGTGTGTCAGATAGGGAAGGTGTCAGATAGAGAGCCAGGCAACAGCAGTTGTTCTTCCAGGGTAATAATGTTAGCAGAGCACCACTCTTGATAAGTCATCAGCATTTTTGTGCCAATTTTTACTGATATACACATTTTTGCAAGGCATTTCCCCCTAACACAATGCAAATTTGCACAGTATTTTCATGAACATATGTGTTTCTATGCACACTTTAACAGAATATATGCATCCCTATGCAAATTACTTGGCTGCAGAACTGCACTGTAAAATTTGGTGATGTGAGAATTTCAAAGGATGGCTGTGTTTTTTGTGCATTGTTTTGGAGAGTGCAAATTTTGTGGGTTCACCTTTAAATGCAAACATAATCAAATTTCTCCTGCATCCCTACATGTGAATAGCCCATTTGTTTTCCCATCATCTCTGCCTCTTTCTTGCCTCCACAGCCCCCAGTTTTTAAGCTCTTATGACCTCACTTCCTTCATTTTCCCAATGTATTCTTTGATTCTTTTCCCTAGGCAAAGAGACCATTCACTTCTCTCCCAGAAGTTGCACAGTTTGCTAACATTCTGCTGTTTCATTTTCTCTGAAACAGCCTATGGCTGTGTAGGTAGAGACCGTCTACAGGCAACAGATAATGTTTTGTTTATGATAAACATGACATTTGGTAAACCTAACACTGTTGTATGGCTGGGCAATATCACCCAGTGGAGGGACCTTTTCAATTCTACTGGGCCAAGGAAGAATATATTCTTTTGTGAATATACTTAATGTTTTCACCAGCTCATTATTACCTCTTTCTTTTAGTTCTCCTGTGCCTAATGTTAGACTTTTCTTGTGTAAAGCCTCTGCACTGCAAGTCAGGTTTCCCATTTAATTGCATTACACTCAGTAGGGGCATTGTTTGGAAAATAGCTTAAATTATATATTATAGTTTCTCATTATAGGCAGCAAAAATTGGCTGTAGCTGTTACCTAAGGGAGCAGCAAGCACCAACTAGCAGCATGGAAGTGCCCTTTAAGAAAAGGTTATACACAATTCTGTAAAACGTAGAGGCAATAAGTGAAGTCATTTACACTTCCATAACAGGCTTTCTATCCTCTTCTTGAAGCCAGGCACACACTTGGGGCAAATCACACAACTTTTTATGTTTGTGGCTTGATCCAAATAGCTTGGAAGAATGGCACAACAATGGGCATGGACTCTGAACAGCTGCCCATGATCCTGGCAATGTGCTCACAGCACCCTTCCCCAACCTATGTGCTCCAGTGGTTTTTGGACCACAGCTCCCATCAGGCTCAATGGTGGGAAATGCAGTCCAAAATTGTAGTCCCATGGGGTTGGTGGGAACAAAACATCTGGGGGGCAGGAGGTTGGCTAAGGCTGCATTACTTTAGCAGTATTGCCCTCTTTATCATGGGAAATAAAGATAATGGAATGGTACATTTTACTCTTTCTAATTATAGTCCATAAATCTTTCAACATGGCCATTGATTATTCTTGTGAAAAATGGCATCTCAAAAAAAAAAGGGGGGGCCTGCGGACAGTGTATGAAATAGCAATGAAATTAGATACTTCAAGCATATTAAAGCAGCGTTTCGATTGTTTTCACAGAGAAGTTGGGGTGACACAGCTATGAAATCAACAGGAAATTGCATCACAGTGTGCGCATTCTTAGGAGGACATAAAAAACGATTGCTCGCTTTATCGAAATGCAGTCTAAAAGCACTTTAGTTAGACCTAATGGACAATTAAAGGTTATTTTACGGCTGAATCATTGACTTCCAAACTATTTATGAGGAGTTAGGCACAGTCCATTAGCACTGTGCGCTTCATGCTTTAGACAATTGTCCATGCTGTGTTGACCACTTTACCCATCAGCTTTGGTCCTTACCAGGGATGGGAAAGAAATTTGGTTCAGTTCCCATTTAAAGGTGAACTCACATAATTTGCACATTTCACAGCTATATGAGAAATAAAGCCTTCAAAATTCTCAGGATTTTGCAATGCAATAGTCCAGCCAACTGAGACGTGTGGGTGTAGGGCTGTATACAAAATAGATAGATACATGATAGATAGATAGATAGATAGATGATAGAATGAATGCAAAAATGCATACATTCTGAAAAAGTGTGCATAAAAGTGCATATTGTTGTTAAAATAACACACAATAACACACAAAAGGCCATTACATTAGGGAAAGTTGTTCTGCAAAAATGTGTATGGTAGGTACACCCGCCCTGAAAAACTTCACCAGGACAACCCACCTGTCTATCACATGACACCTGCCAAAATCTCTTGTGTGGGGTTCCAAAGCACCTGACAGCCAGCCAAGAAGTCTGTTCATCACACTCTCCTGTGAGTGGAGGATTGTGGTTGGTGATGCAGTGCACAGACCTCTCTGTGGCAGCACATCCTTTGTGTAATGCACTCCTTCTATAGTAGAGGTGGGGAAATGCAGGACCAGGGGCTGACTGCACCAGCCCAGGAGCTGGCATACTTATTTCCCCTCCAACCTGCCACCCCCAATCTTCCATCCTGGCCAGCGTGAGACTCTCAGGGTTCTGGTTTGGGTGATTCTTCTGCAGCAGAGCAAATAGATGCTCCAACTTCATTATCTCCTGCTCTTTCTCATGCACACATATTAGAGAGGGGAATGTAAGCAGCATTCCTAGAACTCCATCTCAGCTTTAAATGAGTAACCCTTTGCTCTCTCTTTCAAAACTGCCAGCTGTTTCTCTCTCTCCCACTTTTCCCTAAGTTTGACGGGTGCAACCGTGCTGAAGTATATCTCATTCAGAGACCAAGAGAGATCCTCAGCTCTCAGGGGACCATCTCCTAAGAATTAATTCTCATCAGCTGGACCTCTTGGACCTCCTATCCATCCAACTGTTTTACAAAGGAGTGGCTGGACAGCAGCTGCCTAAACTGCATCTATCTTCATTTGTGGCAGGAGCAGGGAGTCTGTGGGTCTTCCAGATGCTATTGAATTCCAGCTCCCTTCATCTTAAACCAGCATGGCCAAAAGCCAGGAATGATGGGACAACATCTGGAGGGCCACAGTGCCCCCTCCCCTCCCCTCCTCGACTACAGTATCTGTTTGCCCTCATTCTGCATGAATATTGATCTACTTCTCTGGAAGTTTCAAAGCAAAATGCTGGTCACACCACATTATGCTTGGCTCATCTTAGATCAAGCACCCCCAAACTTGGCCCTCCAGCTGTTTTGGGATTACAACTCCCATCATCCCTGACCACTAGTCCTGTTAGCTAGGGATGATGGGAGTTGTAGTCCCAAAACAGCTGGAGGGCCGAGTTTGGGAATGCCTGGCTTAGATCCATGCAACACAGCTGTGAGTTGTGAGTCAGGATGACCTACAAGAAAAAAACACAGCAGATAAGAGCATAAACCCCTCCAGTTGTCATCCAACTTACCAGAACAGCATGTCTGAGGGAGAGGAAAGGAATTTGTGCAAGGCTGACTGGTGAGCTTTGTGGCTGATCCTGAACTCCACATTGGCACAGAATAGTCAGTGCCCCCCCTTTAGTCTCAAGTGTGCATCCGCCTCCTGTTCCTTTAGCTCCAGAATTAAATCATGCTCAGTATGGATTCCTGACATCTTAGATTAGCATTTGGGTGCTCCTCCCCCTGTTCCTCTGCAGCCTTCAGCTCTAAGAGCCTGTCAACACCTATTAATTCTAATCAGAGCAGAAGCCTCACCACATCTTTCAGAACTGGGCCCTACACGCTTACTGCAAGCTGATGTGCAAAGTGCTAAAATCCCAACTGTGGGAAAATAACAATTCTGAGGTTTTCCATATGGCTAGAAGCAGCACCTTTGCAATAAGTTTTCAGAGCAGTCCTACTGTGTTATTCCCCAGAACCAAAGAATTCTACATTTTTAATTCTTCTTCTTCTTCTTCTCCTCCTCCCTCCTCCCTCCCCTCCCCCATATCATTTATAAATTGGTTCCCATGAGGCATCCTGAAGTGATTCACCAAATAATAAAATATATGTATAAAATAGTTTACATTGAAACACTTAAAACAATTGCATTTATTAAAAAAACACGCAATTAAAAACACAGTTTATAGTTTAAAACAGTTCAGAACAACAACACATGCATGCAATCAGTTCAAAACAGTACAACAGAGATATTGACTGGGATCAAGATGCCAATTTAGGAAGTTTGTTGAAAGGGGAACTTAACCTGGAGCTGGAGTTCCTTCGCCGCTTAACCCCAGAAACCCTTTTCAGATCTCATGTATGGCACATGTATAGTAAAAGTCACGAAGGGGCAGTATTTTTCCTTCGATTTTGCCCTTGTCTAGCTGGGGATTTGCTCCATGCTATGATAAAGATATTTCCCTTGTCATCTTTCCTGAACAGCTTTTGGTAGATTTCTCTCTTTCCACTCCCCCTCTCCCCCGTTCCAGTTGACAATCCTCTCCTCTAACCCCCTCTTGCTTTTCCGTCTTTTGACACCAAGTATAATCTTCTGCGTCATCAGAACAACAGTGTGAAAGGTATCATCAGGACAGCGGCTCAGTTTCCCAAAGATGCTGTTTCTACGGAAACACATGTTTCTAATTATGGTGGGTCTTTCTGACAGCTTATGCAAAACTGTACATCACTTTAAACGGGAGCTTCATGGCACACATGCTCCCAGCACCCATTAATTTAACATTCTCTGGCTCTCAGGTACTCAGTTACTTGGAAGGGGGAAGAAGATAGAGATGTTCATCCAGTTCACATTTTAATGGAAGCTACCTTTTGGAATTCACATGTCTCTGAATTTTGTATGCATTTTCACAGCAAAAAATTGGGCACACAAAAAGTGTCTATTAAGGTAAAAGTGTGCTCAATAGATTAATCAACTAAAGTTTTCGCTTTCGTGGAGGCACATTCTCACCAGTATGACTGTGAGCTAAAAGCAGTCTTGCTTGTTTTCCCCCTTAGGCTACTTTTAGGCTATTTTTGTTACGATAAATTATTAGGTAATGAAAAATAACATGCTACACAACGACCTTTCCTTCTAATAAATCTTGGTAGCTTTTATCTATGAGAAAGTATGTGTAGAGAAGTTTTCCATGAGAAAATCTGTATAAAGTTTTCCCTCTCCCCAAATACTAGAACGTGTAGAATGTCTTGCCGTAAGATATGGTGATGATCGCAAGCTTAGATAACTTTAGAAGGGAATTGGGCAGATTCATAAAGGACAGGTCTGTTAATAGCTGTATGGAATCTTCCAGTTTAGAGTCAGTATGACCCTATATACCAGTTACTGAGGGAACAAACTTTGGCAGAAGGCAATTGCATTCAAGCCCTTCTTGTGGGAAAGGATTTTTCTGAGCATTCTGAGCAGGAAATGAAAAATGCAAGAAACCAATTTGGGGAAAAAATCATTTCCTAATGCAAACTGCCACTTTTCTAGTCCTCATCATATCATCTATTTGGGAAGTCATTTTACTGCAGTCACTGATACCTAAGTCAAATATGAAAATGTATAAGCAATTTCAAAATAAATAAGATTAATTGGAAAAGCAATTATTATAGAGCGGCAGAGTGAACAATTACCGAATCTAGCATAATTAGACTCGCTGTACACAACCACTACAAATAAATTAGGTCCATCGGCGCCAGCTCCTCTCTAAAGGATTTGTGTAGTGGCTCCCCAGTTACCATAATTCTTCTGCATTTTGTAGCCTTTGGACTTGGACAACTAATCAAGCCATAATTGGCTATTTACCTGACAAGCTGAAATGATTATTAGTATTGCAGAGCCAGGCTCATGCTTTATTACCACGTACGTGAAGGCGCATCTTCTGGGATGTTTGGGTGCATAATGAGAGTATTATTTATTAGGTCACAGTTGCCAAATGGTTTCTAATGCTTCATAAGAGTATGAATATGGAACTATATTAATAAGGTTATTGGGAAAACACATAAAGTTTAAACCAGGGAGCATTGTGTTTTATTAGACAGAGATGCTCTTGGTGTGAAACAAAGCTGTAACTTAAAGCCTCTGGAAGTTTACCTCACACATGCTAAGCTCATTGTGGTGGAGTCTCCTTCTTTGGAGGTCTTTAAGCAGAGGCTTGACAACCATATGTCAGGAGTGCTCTGATGGTGTTTCCTGCTTGGCAGGGGGTTGGACTCGATGGCCCTTGTGGTCTCTTCCAACTCTATGATTCTATGATTCTATGCCCTTTCAGCTTCTTCTCAGGGACTTTGTCTGCCTGGTCATCCAAGCCTGTTGGCACAGGGCATGAAGGCAAAGATAATGCCTCTCTCTGTCATTGTTTCCAGGCACTTGTTATTCAGGGTCTTATAGCCTGGGAGGGTGTTACAAGAGTGTGCATGCTTCCTGCCTGCTCAACCTATACTATCGCCATCTTACCTGTGAGTCTTGGAAGACTTGCTCCCTTGCCTTGCAGGCTTTCCCCCCACCTGGCCTGGGAGGGCAGGGCCCTGACTGACTCCAGCTACAAAGGTTGAGAGAGCTCAGAGAGACCAGATACCATCATGGCTGCAGATGCATACCTAGGGTCCCTTGAACTCTTGACAAGGGGCCATATGGCTCCTCTCCCCCCTAAAATCACTTTACCACAATAACCACATTAGAAATCATTCTACGTGGTCCAAGTACTCAAAGAATCCTGAGTATGGGAAAGGTGAGGAGGAAGGGTGGAAAAATTCACATGCCTTGTGTTTGATATCACCACAACAGTGGACTGACTCCAGCTTCAGAAGCTGAGGCTACTGATGAGGCCAGAGACCACCTTGGCTCCAAGTCCTGGAAGACTTACTCCCTGCCTTACAGGCCTTTTCCACCTGGCCTGACCTGGGAGGGCAGGTCTCTGACTAACTCTGACTACAGGGGATGAACAGACTTTGGGCTGGGATATTGTTTAGAGGTTTTTGTTGGGGGTTATTGTAGCTGTTACTGATTTTTTTTTGTAGCTTTAATTTTAAATTATATTATGATTTATGTCAAAATTGATTGTATAATGTGTTTAATTTATTGTTTATGACTACTTATGCTATAGGACGCGGGTGGCGCTGTGGGTTAAACCACAGAGCCTAGGACTTGCTGATCAGAAGGTCGGTGGTTCGAATCCCCGGGGTGAGCTCCTGTTGCTCAGTCCCTGCTCCTGCCAACCTAGCAGTTCAAAAGCACATCAAAGTGCAAGTAGATAATTAGGTACCACTCCGGTGGGAAGGTAAACGGCGTTTCCGTGTGCTGCTCTGGTTCTCCAGAAGCGGCTTAGTCATGCTGGCCACATGACCCAGAAGCTGTACACCAGCTCCCTCAGCCAATAAAGCAACCCCAGAGTCGGTCACGACTGGACCTAATGGTCAAGGGTCCCTTTACCTTTTTACTTACGTTATACTTATAATTCTGTAGTTTTTCATGTTGTAAGCTGCCTTGAGCATGGTTTTATTTGTGGATAAAACGATGATGTATGTATGTTTGTATGTAATTTCCTCATGATCATGTATTAGAAAAAGGCAGCACCAATCTCCAGTAATCTTTCTTTAGAAGGAAGCACTTGGGGAAAATGGGAGCAGAAAAGAATATCAGTAAATCACGCACTCAATAATCTGTGGGCTTGAGATATAGGACACAGCTACGACACCACTCTGACTCCTTGAATGAGAGATCTAATGCCCTGGCATGGAATTGAAAATTGGGAGAAAGTTGTGATAGGTTTTATTGAGTTGGGAAAGGTAATCATAAGTCACTAGCTGGAAAAAAGCAGCATAGGTATAGATCTTCAAGAGAGCGATGATGGTTTTTAGGGGGTCTGTCATTGCTTTGGACAAATGCTGCTTATGTGAATGTTCTTTCTCCTCTGCTCAGTCTGTGTATTTGTACATGAATGACTCTTCCCATACTGATAAAGTCCAGTTGGGCTGCTGCAATGTATTTTACATAGAGCTGCCCTGGAAGATGCTGCAGAAACTAGAATGCAGCTGCTAGAAATCTGACTTGGACTTCCCATTGGGAATATATCTTGCCAATGTTGAAGTTTTACCATTGATTGTCAACAACTGCCAAGCCCAGATCACACTGCAAGTGTTTGCCTGCCAAGCCACTCATAGTGGGAAGCACTCACATGCTTAAAGACACTCCTGCCCCTGTATCAGCTCACCTGTTTACTGTGGCCATCTGTTGGTACTCTTCTTCAGGTGTTTGCATTGTCAGAGTTGAGACAAGTGGAGATCAGGCAGGAGGCTGTTTTTGGTCGTAGCACTGCACCTGTGGAACTCTTTTTTTAGGGAACCTAATCTGAAATTTACCATGTTATCTTTTAAGTGCTGGGTCTTTTAAGGTACTTTCATTAAGTCTGCCTGCTGCTGCTATTACCAATATTTTATGCTACTTGGTATGTTACTGAGACTTGCTGCATTTATTTTAATATGTTGCACGTTGTCTAGGGATGAATGGTGGAGGTGCAAATTCTCAAATGAAAAATAAATAGCTAGATAAATAAATAAATAAATAAATAAATAAATAATGGAAACATAAACCAACAAAAGCAGCACAGTCTTCAGCAGTGAGCTTTTGAGAGAGTTCAGGTGGATTGGAAGCTGCCTTAAACCTGATAGAGCCTGATAGAGACATTTTGGAAAGTGATTCCCCCTAATATAGTGCACTTTGTATACTGTTTTCACTAACATGTGCATTTTATAATGCATGTTTTACCCTAGTGCATGCATTTCTGTACACATTTCTTGACTGGAGAACTGCACTGCAAAATTCAGAGGAGCACAAATTTCAAAGTATAGCTGTGTTTTAGCTCGTATGTTGTTTCAGAAACTGCATGTTAGGTATGTCTGCCTTTAAATGTGCTCTGGATGGAATTTGCCCTCCACCTCTAGCTTTAACAGATATAGGTCTTAATGTATCTTCCATTTTGAGTGTGTGATGGCAAAGAGGTGGATGTTTAATCACTGGGTCTTCATGGTAGCTAAAAAGCTACACGCTGCAATGCTGCTTGTTCTGTAAGTCTCCGGATAGTCTTACTGCCTCATAAATACAAACAAGTTCCCTGTTTTCTGAACCACATAAATACTCAACAAGAGAGCTGGGAGCAGGAAAATGGCTCATTTTAATCCCAAACTCATAAAAACAACTCAGTGGTGATAAATGAAAATGATTCTCCAGACCTAACATCATATAAGTTTCCATTAATGTTACATGAGTTTCCCATTATATTGGAGACACATCAATATCACCCGCAGAAGACATTTTCACAAGCATCAGAAATGCGTTTCTTTGGGTTCCCCCGCCCCTTCAAAAAGGAAGATGCAGCCCATTCCTATCTGATGATACAATTCACTGAGACAGTTAAAACAAACATGTCTGCATCCCATCTCTTTGCTGTATGTGCAATCAGGAATGTGGGCAGAGCACTCCAATGGGGCAGGGAGAGGGAGAAACTGAGGTGGAAAAACTGCTTTTTCCTATGCCCTGGTGACTTCTATCAGTCAGGCAAAATGTGTGTGTAAGAGGGGGGATGGGGGAAGAATTAGATTCAGTCCGCATTTAAAGTTTGAGCGCTTCCAAAGTTTGCAGTGCAGTTTTCCATATACTAGGGTGGAGGGTGCATAAAAATGCATATATTCATGAAAATAACATACAAAAACGCATCATTAGAGAGCATTGCTTTACAAAAAGGTACATAGCAGGCAAAATTTTCATTCAGATATGTGTATATTAGGAGACATTCCTGTTATTATGCTGATGAATTTTCATAGAGACTTGGTTTTTAATTTTTAAATGGCAAACAATTGTGGAAATATGAAGAACTAAATTTAGGATTGGGGAGATGAGAGATAGCTAGCTTGATGGTTGAGTGGAGATTTAAATTCTGGTATCCTAGGAACTGTTATGATAGTTTGCAAGGTGGCGGCAGCCACCTTTCTTCAATTGGACTTCCATGCCCATTTATCATGCTAAATTCTTTTCCTTCCATTGCTCCTAACACAATTTCGTTGGGTTCAGGATAATGTCTGCAGCAGTTGTGGAAGTTCTTCTCTTGCAGTTTAGGAGCCTTGCTATTTTAGGTTGTAACATGCATGGGGTGATCAGCACACAGAGAAGACTTTCTACTGCTGACATTATCGTGAGCATCATGATGGCAAAAGTGGGGCCGGAGCAACAGGATGACTTGGGGGGGGGTATTAAATGCACAGTCATAAGCCTTATTTTCCACATTTCCCATCTACATGAGGGTCAAGGCTTGCTGAATTTGGGTCCTATTGAAAACATTTGGATAGGTGAGTCATACCTTCCCAATGTCTATGATCTCAGTTACAAAACTGTGAGATGATAGATGATAGATTGATAGGATAGATAGATAGATGATACATATCTAAAAACAGTGGCAAGCCACATAGTGGGAACAGTAAGGACATAGGAATCTACCTTATATCATATCAGGTGATTGGGCCTGAGTATTGTTTGCATTGACTAGCTATGGGCTCTTCAGGGTTTCAGACAGGGAACGTTCCCCAGCTCTTCCAGGGGTTGCTAGGAATTGTCCTTGGGAACTTCTGAATGCCAAACAGATGCTGTTCTACTAAACTATGGCTCCTCCCCTAAAAATAAAGCAAGGTCCCAGTCCTCATGATTCTGGATAAAAGGCTAAAATAAATAGGAGCACAGAAAGCTGCCACTGGTCTACTTATCTCAGTATTGCAGACAGTGACTGGCAGGGGGTCTCCAGGGTTTCAGAGGGTGGATGTTCCCAGCCCTACCTAGAGATGCTTGGGATTGAAGCTAGAACCTTCTTCATGCAAAGCAGACACCCTGCCATTGAGCTACGACCCTCCCCAAACAGGAGAATAAGCTGGCTGGTTAAACCAAGCCCCGAACCATGCTGTAAAGATTATGTTGCCAGGCAGAGTGTAGCGAGGCTGCTGATCAGAAGCTTCAAAAGAAACTCATCAGCTGGAGTGGGATCTTCATTTTTTACTCCCCCACCCCTATTTTTGAAACAATTGCACCAACAGGATTAAAGAGGCCACCTTCAGGACATTTCTGTCCTCCACAGTAATTCTGGTGCTAGCGCATCGCTGTCTTTTGCCCGAAATGCAATGCCAGCAATTCGTTGCGCTATTTACCTAATAGTTCCAATTTTTGAGCTCAGTCTCCCATATTTATCTTCTAATGCAGCAGCCGGCTCGGCGCCTCTGTTTGAAATGTATGGGCATTCCGTTGGATATAATGAGTTTCCGTCAAAAGCTCTGTTAGTGGCTGGCACTGGGGATAACTCATTTTGATGGAAAATAGGAAAAGAGAGTGGAAGAGGGAGTCGCACATTCTCAGTCAACTAGAGCAAATCCTTAAGGCTATGTACAGATTATGATTTCTGTGCTGCACCCGGACTTTTCTCCCCCCCCTCCGCCCCTCTGCCCAGCCACATTGCTACTGCAGCACTCAGTAACTTTACAGGTGCACAACTTAGCGGGAATGCAAGTGGGGCAAGCCTGTTCGGTCCAGTCCCCTCTTACTGGAGCCACTCCTAGCCTGGTGCAAGTTAATGGCACATTGAAATTGACTAGACCAGCTTCAAACTGCTTCTGGTCTAGTCAATTTTCATAAAAATTAATAAAAATCCCTCTAAATAAGAACATGTTCTTGAATGTAGACTTCCCATTGGCATCTAGCTGGCCTCTCTGGGAATAAATGCTGGGCCTTTGGTTTGATCCAACAGGCCTCTTAAATAAATAAAATAAATAGGATGCCATAAAAGCTATTTGATGATGGCAGCATACACTGTTGGACATTGTGGTAGCCCACGAAGAATAGAACTCCCTCTCCACAGAAGGACATCTGGCGTTTTCTTCATATAGCTTCCACTTCCCTGACCTCTCAACAGCTAAAGTGTGCCAAGAAGGGGCAGGGTGGAGCTGTTGATTAGCAATCACACAGGTTGGCATGAGGTATGCTGAAGGAGCATGTACCCTGATTGGCTCCGTACTTCTGAGGGAGTTCCCCCCTGTATGTTTAGTTGAATGTGTCCCCAATATATACAAGGCCTGAAGTAAGAAAGACAAAACGTTTCTGTTTCCCTCTCCCCAAATTATATATACCGTTTTTGTTCAGTTTCCTCAGTAAAGTATAATTAGGATTTCTTTTCTCTTTGAACTCTGTGTTGTTTAAGTGACTTTGCTAACAGCTATTACTGCATAACAGTGACCTCATTTTTTCTCCAAAAGGCTATCAATAAGCAGCTGCTCCTCTCCTATGGGAGGGAACAACAACAGATCAGATGAATGCTTTCATTCTGCAAACCATGCAGAGCAGACATTCCGCAAGATGGAGAATTATCTCCAGCAGAAGCAACTATGTGATGTTCTTCTCATTGCTGGAGAGCATAGGATTCCTGCCCACAGGTAAAGATTTTGACCTGCTACAGGTACCCAGCCTCCCTGACTGCCCTGCTTCTTCTAATATACACATTTTTAAACGGCCTCAACCCAGTATACCTGAAGGAGCGTCTCCACCACCATCGTTCAGCCTGGACACTGAAGTCCAGCGCCAAGGGCCTTCTGGTGGTTCCCTCGCTGCAAGAAGCAAAGCTACAGGGAACCAGGCAGAGGGCCTTCTTGAAAGTGGCACCCACCCTGTGGAATGCCCTCCCACCAGATGTCAAAGAGTAAAACAACTACCAGACTTTTAGAAGACATCTGAAGGCAGCCCTGTTTAGGGAAGCTTCTAATGTTTAATAGACTATTGTATTTTAATATTCTTTTGGAAGCCGCCCAGAGTGGCTGGGGAAACCCAGCCAGATGGGCGGGATATAAATAATAATAATAATAATAATAATAATAATAATAATAATAATAATAATAATAATTTTTCTGTGCAATTTTGTCTAATATGCACACTTTTGCAGAACAATTTCCCCTAATATAATGCATTTTTGAATGCTGTTTTCCACTACATATGCAGTTATATGCACACTATTTAACCCAGTATATGGATTTTTTGTACACGTTTTGTGGCTTGAGAACTACTTTACAAGATTCAGAGAGGTGCAAATTTCAAAGGATAGCTGTGTTTCAGTCTGCACATTGTTTCAGAAAGTTCAAATTAGGTAAGTTCACCCTTAAATGCAAACTGAATTGAATTTCTCCCCTGTTCACACCTGGGTGTAAGTTCCCCTGAAAACAAGAATACTTTCTTCTAAGTAGACGTGCAGAGACTTGCACTGTCAGTGTATCAAGCCAGTCAGGGGGGATTTAATTTGCCCAGGGAAGAGAAACAGCTCTCCAAGAGAATATTAAATTACTTAATCACCATATTCTCTTCACTGCACAGATGTGTGACATTCTAGTCATAGGGCAAAATAAAATAAAATATGTTATTCCATGCATCATTGGAATAACAATGCATCATTTAGAGCAACCCAGGCAAAAAGCAAAACAAAACCAACGCAGCGAGGAAGGTTGATGCTTCCATCAAGATAAAGAGCTGACACAGATCCTTACCTTCTCTTCCCAGGTTGGTTCTGAGTGCTGTGTCTGACTATTTTGCTGCAATGTTTACCAACGATGTCCGTGAAGCAAAACAGGAAGAAATCAAAATGGAAGGAGTGGACCCCGATGCACTGAAAGACCTTGTGCACTATGCATACACAGGTAAACTCCCTGCCAACTCTCTTATGCACAGCGGCTTCCAAATCAACAAACTGTATTATGCTCTTTCACACAAACAGTTGTGCATATTTGGAGGCAGCTTGTGCCTGTGCTCATCGTGTTGTGTGAACAAGTCTAATATCTTGTGCAGTCACAAGAACACTTTCTTTGAGTTTCCCCCACAAAAAAAGAACAACCCATTTTCATGCACCTCTCTCTCTCTCTCTCTCTCTCTCTCTGAAAATATTAAACCACACAGGTGTCCTGGAACTCAAAGAAGAAACAATTGAAAGCTTGCTGGCCGCCGCTTGCCTTCTCCAGCTTTCACAAGTCATTGAAGTCTGCTGCAACTTTCTCGTGAAGCAGCTCCATCCATCAAACTGTTTAGGGATTCGGTCCTTCGGAGATGCTCAGGGGTGCACAGAACTCCTGCGGGTGGCGCACGTGTACACTATGGTGAGGTCAAAGGAACAAGATTCCTGGAACTAACTGCTGGGAGGTTAAAGCTAGAGAGGAACTGACAAGTTGTGGTTGTGGTCGCAAATGGCTACAACAAGATTAAATGCCCAAGGAATCTGCACAGGGCACCATCAAGGTAGAACTTTGCAGCACATATCCAGGGCCCAGCTTAGCAGAATGAGTGACATGGCCTGTTAGCTGAGCAAGGCTAGCTCACCACTTTTTAAAGTATGTAAAATAGTACACAGTAGTACCTCTGGTTGTGAACAGGATCCGTTCCGGAGGCCCGTTCACAACCTGAAAAGAGCGCAACCTGAAGTGCTGTATCTGCACAGGTGTGTGGCACAATTTGGCGCTTGTGTGCATACGTAAAGCACGATTTAGCACTTCTGCGCATGCTCAAGCGGTGAAACCCGGAAGTAACCCTTTCTGGTACTTCCGGGCCGCCGTGGGACGCAACCTGAAAATGCGCAACCTGAAGCGTCTGTAACATGAGGTATGACTGTACATTTGCAATCTAAAAAGAACTACCCCCCCATGTGAGAAAATGAAGAAACAAACACTCAATTCCCCCTGCCTCCAATTTGAAATGAAATAGCTCATCTGCTTTGCTTGCAAGAGTTCCCTGGTTCATTTCCCAACTTTTCCAGGTGGGGCTGAAATCTTAGAGAGCTGATGCTAAGCAGCCGCCAGATGGACTGTTGGTATCTGACTTTGTATAAGGCAGCTTCCAATATTCCTAAATCATCCAAACTCACAACATTATGTAGGCCTTCTGCTCAATCCCAACCCAACTGCCCCAAAGACTGATCAACATAACGCAGCGGAATGAGGTGGTAAAAAAGTGGAATAGCCCAGAGGTGGCAAAATGGACCCTGCCATTTCAATCAGCAAGCGCTAGGGGGAATACTGTATCTGAAAACTTACATATATTCAACAATAACAACAACCCCAAGCACTCTGCAGTTAGAAAACACAGCAAGCAGTGGGCTACAGTTCATGTCCCTGATGTGTCTGATGCCTATTTGAAGGGAGGGTTGAAGGAATCTTTACAAAATAGCTTCTTCTCCCTCCCCCGCATGCTTCCTAAAGAGGTACAGTCCACTCTTCCATCACACTCACTGCATTTGCATACCCGCCAAGTGTCCTGGAAAAAAATGGAAAATCCTGTTTTTTTGTGCAAGACCACAGTTGCCATTTTGGGTGCCATGATCTTGCGAGTTCTTGCACAACGCTCACACTGGAGAAAAAGCATTTTGGTTGGGGCTGCAATCTTGTGCGGCATCCCAAAATGTGTGTGTGAGATCGCACCCTGAAAAAGTGGTTTTTTTCAGGGTGAGATTCTGGCACGGTTCATGTGACTCGCCCGGGAGCACTCATCCAGGAAGATGCACATCTCAGTTTTTCATCTGAAAAAGTTGGCTGTTATGCATTTGTAGCTCCCTAGGTCTCATCAGAACTGGCATGTCCTCAGGTCGTGATGGAAAGGGCTTGGTACAAGAGCCCATCTGCCTGACTCAATTTAATCTGAAGAGGGTTTTTTAATTTGCGACTGAGCTAATCGATTAGATGCACCGATTAAAACCATTCAAGCCTCTTCACTTCTACATTTCATCTTTTTTCAAAGAGCAAAAGGATGCCTTCTCCCCTCCCTCCTGTTTCAAGATGATAGGGCAAACGAAGGCTAGAATCCTCTTTCAACTGTCAATAAAGACAGCGGTTCCCCAAAGAGCACATTAGCTGTGGGTGGGGTTTGATGCCTTTGGTGGCAAGGAAAACACAGTGGTGCTTTTCAGAAAGGGAGCAAATGACTGGGTGTGATCGGGAGCTGGAACAAGCGGATATGTGAAAAATATCTATAATCTGAGGAGCAGAGAAGAGCATATACACTGCTGCCCATACCCCAGTGATTCAAAGCAGAGGAAGGAACAATTGAAACATGAGGTGAGAAAGAGGAAGCTTGCTGTGAAATAAAATCTAGGTATAAATATTGCAGAGGGAAAGAGTTGAGAAAACCTCTTCAAATGCACAAAGAGCAACAATTCCTGGGTCTGAATGTGAAATGAAAGTGATGTGAGGCTGGGCACAAGCTCAACCCAAGTTGCTGTTTGATTCAAAAGCAGCTTAAATCCCTGTGAAGCAAAATAAGAGAATTTCCATGGTTTTTGAAGCCACCAAGATGAGTTAAACTGGAGCATACACACTGCTGCTGAATTTTTATGACCCATGGTGGTGGGATTAAGGTGTGCAAGGCACTGGCTGCATAGACTTCTGGATGGGTTGTAGGCCCTCTGCTCTTGGGGTGGGGGGCAGCTGAGTCCTCACACCTTCACTTGTAGAGAATCAGGAAGGTGCTTACCCTAGATCAGGCTTCCTCAACCTTGGCCCTCCAGATGTTTTGAGACTATAATTCCCACCATCCCTGACCACTGGTCCTGCTAGCTAGGGATCATGGGAGTTGTAGGCCAAAAACATCTGGAGGGCTGAGGTTGAGGAAGCCTGCTCTAGATACACCAGGAATTAAGTGAATGCTGGGCCATTAGGGCAAATGGAGAAATGCCCCACCAACCTCGGTCTGCCCTCAGCCAGCCCCCACTTATTTCCCTACTTCCCTATTTCCCAGGGAGTGACACAGACTGCTGGATCTCCCCTCCTTAGTTTCAGTGCTGCCCTTGTAGAACTCAGTAGGGAGGAGGAAAATGGGGGCAGAGAAAGAATTAGTTGTCTCTGTTGTTGGCGATGGTTCTACCTACTATCTTCCACCCTACCAGGCCCAATGGGCAAACACTGCTATGATTCCATCTAGCTCATCATTGTCAACAGGCATGAGAATGAGGAGAGTGACTCTCAGCAATAAACACTCAATGGATATATGAAGCAGCCTCTAAAAAGTCCTGTGAGAAAAGATCATTATTATTTTAGCTTTGTTGTTACTGATGTGAACTATTAACAGTCTCCTACCTGGGAAACTTGCTTCAACAAGCAAGAAACTGTTTACAGTCATACCTCATGTTACAGATGCTTCAGGTTACGTGTTTTTGGGTTGTGGATTGCAGGAAACCTGGAAGTACCAGAACGGTTTACTTCCGGGTTTCGCCGCTCACGCATGTGCAGAAGTGCCAAATCGTGGCAGCGCCTGCGCAGACGTGATGCTTCAGGATGTTAATGCTGTGGGTTGCAGACATGCCTCCATCATGGATTATGTCTGCAATCTGAGGTTCCACTGTACTATAAACAGCTTGTGGTATTTCTTAAGATCATAGCATCTGAGTAGGGATTAATTCTGCACAGTTTTTAATCAGTTCATATAACTGATTAATGAAATGCTGCACTCCTACTTTATCCTAGAAATGTTAGCAAAAATATTGCATCCAGAGCTCAGAACTCCAGCTGAAGCATATTTCTCTAGAGACTTGGTTGGGGTCAGGCAAGGAAAGTATGGAGTGAGGAGTTATCTCTTTATTGTCAAAAGTACCCTTATAAGTTAGGCAAGGACAGCCCTGTGTCTCTCAGCTCCTCCTAGGTGTGCACCAGATGAGGCATTTGCCACAAGAGAGAGGCCTTGTCCCAATCTCATCTTAAGTATCTTCCCCACTAGAGTTGCAGGCAAGCAGGTGAAAACTCCACCTGCATATAATCTGCTTCTGCTCCTCCCACTTCAGTCCTCTTTTGGTCCTGGGAGAGTGTGGAATAGGAGAGGTGAAGGCAGGAGGAGGAGGAGGAGGAGGTGAGGAAGCCCTTGACTCTATGCCAGCTGGACCTCTCTCTCCCTCCTCCTGCATCTGCACCTGTTCTTCACCCTCCAGTCCTGCATCTTCTCCTGCCTCTGACTTTCAGTCTCCTGGCTTTTACAGGCTCCCTCAGATCACTGTCCCCTTCTTCCAAGTCAGTCTCCAACCCTCCTTCTCCTGACGCTCACTCTTCAGTATCCAGCCACCACTCCCCAGCGTCCAGCCAGGCCCTGACACTAGAGTTAGAAGAAAGTAGGCTACTTGTAAATGCAATACTATCCTCTCTGAGCCTCTAGGCTCATATGGGATAAAAGGCAGTGTGAAGGAAATTCTTGGGGGTTGGGCTAGGTGATGTTCAGTGTACCCTTCCAGCTCTACAATTCTATGATTCTATGAATGAACAAATATGTAAAATGCAGATGCCATGCTAAGTTATGTTTTACTCCCTTCATTAGGAACACTTCACTGAGGTAATAAAGAACCAGGAATTTCTCTTGCTGCCTGCTGGTGAAATTGCTAAGCTCCTGTCAAGTGATGACATCAATGTCCCAGATGAAGAATCCATATTCAAGGCACTGATGTTGTGGGTTCGGCACGACTTGCAACCCAGGCAGCGGGAGCTTGGAATGCTTCTCTCCTACATCCGATTGCCTTTGCTGTCCCCACAGGTAGGCCTCTGGATAGAATGCCTGAGAAATTTGATTTCTATGAATCCTTATGCACACTGACCTGATCCACACCTCCAGGGTAAATGTGCTGCTTGAAACATCATTATCCTGCTGAATTTGTGCTTCCCTATATTTTGTGATACAGTTTTCGGCTCCAAACCTCCTGTTGTTATGACTGTTATTAATTTTTATTTTAACTTATTTTGAACCTACTCTTTATTGGTCACACAATCCTGGAGCGAGCAATCACATTTCAAATAATATTTCATTGAAATGCACCTAATGTGAAAATCAAACCCTACACTAGCAACTAGGACTGAGTGAGAAATTTGATTCAGATGACACTGAAATGTGAAGCCTACCTAATCTGCAGTTTCTGAAACAGCATGTGAACTGAAACACAACCATATTTGAAATTCAAAGTTGCATGAATTTTGCAATGAAGGTCTCCAGCCAAGTAATGTGCAAAAAGTCATATACTCACGTATATTTCAAATGCATATATAGAGAGATATTTTTATTAAAAATGCACTGTATTAGGGGAAATTGCTTTGCAAAATGTAACGATGGGGGGGTTGTAGAAAAGTATAAAAATGTGTATATTGGAATACATTTTCAATAAAATGTTGATGAACCCCTCACAATCTGATGTGGAAATGTGGATAAAAACTGAAGCTGACATATTTGTTATATCAGCCAAATGAGGGCACCATTCTAACAAAAGAGTTGGATGAATGGCCATGTTTCTACCTTTGGTATTGCTTGCACCTAGTAAAAACCTTCCGCTGGCAATTAGTTCAGTTTAATGTTGGCAAGCCCCCTCCCCAAGGATGACAATGAGACTGTATTCCTTTCATTAGAAGACAATAGGGATATGTCAACAATTCTGGCACTTAGGTTGGAGCCAAAGCTGGAGGCATCAGAGAGTAGAAGCTGGCCAGGTCTGGTGGTAAATCACATGGCACCTCCCATTGGAGACCAGGCTGTGCTTGTGTGAGAAACTGTGAGTGCAATTGTTTCCTATAATTTCCCCATCCAGACACCCCAATAGTATCATAGGATCATCAGACCATGGGGAAGTGCTTTGGTAATGCATTGAGGAGGTCAAATTCTGGGGATAAGAGATGGGAGACAATCTTCCAAGCTATGATAAGAAGGTTGAGGATGATAGGGAGTGGGATTTGGTTGTAGGAAGCTTGACAGCAGTTCCCCAAGCTAGGAGTCAGCATGGTTAGGCATCTACTGGAGTTCATGTTCTAGCAAGGAAGTTCACTGCTGACCTGCCAACTTCATTCCCCAAAATTGCAGTTGAATTTCAACATTTTGTTTAATCTTGTGTGTGCAAACTAATATGCATAGAAGCCCATGCAACCTGAATCCTGGGTCCTGTTGGCCCACTGGCCAACCCTCTCCTCCCTTAGCCAGCTCCAGGTGTGGAAGAGGAGGAGGATCAGTAGCAGCAACACCAGCCGCAAGGAGGATTTCCGATGGCTGTCTCAGGGTCCCCACTAATTATTATGATGCCCTGTGGCCCTTAACATCTGGAGAAAGACTTGGCTGATATATCTAGAAATGACCTTTTGATTACATCAATATGAACACCAAGACTTTGTATGTCTCAGCTATTAGCAGATCTGGAAAACAGCCCCATGTTCACTGATGACCTTGAGTGCCAGAAACTTCTCATGGAAGCAATGAAGTATCACCTGCTACCAGAAAGGAGGTCTATGATGCAGAGTCCTCGTACTAAGCCTAGGAAGTCCACCGTGGGCTCTCTCTATGCTGTGGGGGGTATGGATGCCACCAAAGGTAAACTGACAAAGTGACCTCTGGCCTATGAAAACTTAGTTCACAATAAATGTAGTTAGCATGTAAGGATGTAAGGATGGGGTAGCCAACATGCTATTCTCCCGATGTTTTGGACTACAACTCCCACTATCCCTAATCATTTATTATGCTGACTGGAGATGATGACAGCTATAGCCCAAAGCATCTGGCAGGTACCCACTGGCTACTCCTGGTACAAAGCCAGGATAGAGAATCTGGGACTCTCCAGATGTTGGACTCCAACCATCATTGACCACTGGAGATTATTGATGAGGATGAGCACAACTGTGGCAACAGTTTAGATGAACTACAGAAGATCGATATTAGCAAGCTGTGCTCTGACTACTAGATCGCTCAGTCCTCAATTCCTTTGCCTTTTGAGAGGCTACCAGGCACTGCCTATACAATTCCACGTACATTTTCACATCACAGGCATCATGGGATGGTGAAAAGAGTACTGGGCTTGGAATGGGGAGATCAGTTCAGACTAGGATGGGCAGATGCAAAAGAGGACAGGGCCCCTGTATTTAAATAGTTGTGTAGAAAAGGGAATTTTAGCAAGTGTAGTGACCTCTTCTACACAACTACGAGAGGATCCCTGCCCTCTTGCATCTTCTTTCACCAGCTTCAGCTAGGAAGACAGCTATGCCCATTCCTGGATCAGGATAGCTTGACCACAGTTGTCCACACAAAGTTGGATTACTGCAATGTGCTCTATACGGGACTACCCTTGAAGTGGCTCCGCAGGCTACAGCTGGTGCAAAACCTGGTGACTAGGTTGCTTGTGAGGGCAAACTACTGCTGGCAATCTGCTACTGGGTCAGGTTCAAGGTGTTGTTACTATCATAAAAGACCCTCTACAACTCCGGACCAGGTGACTTGAGAGACCAACTTATCCATTATATACTCAGCAGGCCACTGTGGTCTGTGGGGGAGCTTCTCCTTCAGGTTTCAAAGATACTCTGTAGAACATCACTCCTGTCGAGATATAACAGGTGACCACTATCTGCACTTTGGGAAACAGCTGAAGACATTTTTGTTTCCCAGCTGGAAGTATGCTTATTTTGTATTTTATTGCATTTTGTACACTGCCTTGAGACATAATGTGTGTAGAACGCCCATAATTTAATATAATCGCCATCACCACCAACCACCCCACCTTAATTAGAAGGCAGCTTCCTGTGTTTACCAATCTACCTTCACATTATTATTACTATTGATTTATTAATATCCTTATAAACAACTGTCTCAAAGCAATTTACACCAAATATATTTTAAAACAGATAAAAATACAAAAACATACAAAGTAGACACTCATGGTAAAGACCCATTCATCCATATGGGAAAGCCCGTCAGAGCAAGATGGTCTTAAATTGTTTCTGGAAAGTGCAGATAGCTGGCACCTGTTGCATCTTGACAAGAATGATGGTCCGCAGAACTGGGTAGCCACACTAAAAGCCCTGCTCCAAATTACACCTTGCACATTTTGGTATCGCCAAGCTATTACCCTGTGCCTCCTCCACCAGGTATTGCTAATTCTGCATACAGTATTTTGAATCCTCAACAGGGAATGCAGGTGTAAGCTCTGGAAGATAAGGCAATTCGCTTATAAACCAAAGCCTATCCGAGTCCATCTGCCACTTTTAAAGTGCCACACCCTTTTTTTTTTTTTTTTAAAGGGAACGAATAGGTTTATATTCCGCTGCTACCTGCAGAAACTTTAACCTTACCCCCACAGCATACAACCCACAGAAAAGCAATTATTCAAAGAGATTGTAGTGTTACTTGCTACTGCAGAAATTGCTAGCAAGATTGGATGTTTGAACTAATTTCAAACACGCTGTCTTGCCACCATATTACATTTCGTTATATGGAATGAATATTAACATTATTCAGATATAGTTGCTCACACCACTCCCAAGGTAAAAAAAAAAGGAAAAAAGCACAGCACTTTAGATCCTCAGGATGAAGGGGAGAAAATGGTTTGGATTGCATTGTGTTTCTTGTGCAATCATAATGGACACATAGGAGATTGAAGCTGAAGTCCGAGCCTTAAGATCTTTGCTTTAGTGGCTGACCTTTAGAATTGAATGGACAGGAGTGGAATGAATTAGAATTAATTGGAATTTCACAGTTGAAAATAGCAACACTGGTTGCCTCGCTTCAGAAAGGATATTGTAGAGCTGGAAAAGGTTCAGAAAAGGGCAACCAAAACCATCAAGGGATTGGTGCAACTTCCCTCTGAGGAAAGGTTACAACTTCTGAGGCATTTTAGTTGAGAGAAAAGGCAGGTAAGAGATGAAATTATAGAAGTTGGTAAAATTATGGATGTCAGGGAAAGTGGACAGAGTAAAGTTTTTTGTCCCTTTCTCATGACCCCAGAATTCAGGGACACTCAGTGAAGCTGAATGTTGGAAGACAAAAGAAAATACTTCTTTACACTGTTAAACAATGGAATTGCCACCAACTAGGGTGGATTTAAAAGAGAAATTCAAGAAGATAAGACTATCAGTGCCTACTAGTTGTGATGGCTGCTGTTCTCTGGCCCTGCTTGTGGGCTTCACATAGACATCTGGTTGGCCTGATCCTGCTCCCTCTCTCTTTTTATCCCTTTACAAAAAGATTAAAAAACACCATGCACCACTCAGTCTGTTAATATATCCCTAGCTACAAGGTACGAGTCTTGGGTGTTACCACTCTACTTTTCCAGCCTATTTCTGCATGCATGTAGTTCATTTTCCACACTCTGTTACTTGTCACTGCTACACATTGCCACACCATAATTTTAGAATTTTGACCAGTTCCTATCCTTGAAGCAAACTCTAAAAAAAACTTCTTAACCACCAAGTATTCAATGGTGCCTTGCACTTCCATGTATTTCAAGCACAAATACTTTCCATGTATTTTACATACAAATTCTCAAGATATCTCAGTTATATAAGTGGTTAAAATTGGCTGCTCATGATCTCCAAACAGTGTCAGCAATATCACTGAATGTTCATGAATATTCCATTGCCACCACTATTCTGTAAGATTCTCCTTCAAATTCACTATTCATATATTTTCAACAGGCACTACCACCATTGAGAAATATGACTTGAGGACAAACAGCTGGATCCAAATTGGAACCATGAATGGAAGGCGGCTACAGTTCGGGGTTGCTGTGATTGACAACAAGCTGTACATTGTAGGAGGAAGAGATGGCCTGAAAACATCCAATACAGTCGAATGTTTCAATCCAGTAACCAAAGCCTGGACTGTGATGCCCCCAATGTCAACCCACAGGCATGGTTTAGGTAAGAACACTTGCAAAATTATCTTCTACTTAAACTGACAATGACAGTTTGTCACACATTAAACATGCACTTGCCGTGCAATGATTCTCCAGAGACCTCTAACTGAGAACAGGTCTACCCATACCTTGAGAACAGGTCTATGTATTCCTAGCCATCCCTTGACATTAGATGCATGTGTGAATGGAACACTGTGATTCAGTGATCACAGTAAGAGCTTTCCGATCATAGCTCAAACACAACAACTTGGATCCAGCGTTGGTGGAAGTCAGAACTACGTGTGTTACTGGGCTTTCCCAGCCCTCTTCTTCACTGCAATTATTACAAAGAGAATGTTTTGAGTACACACACAGAGTTAAAAATGGGATGGAATGCACTGTATGAAACAGACATGGTAGCCAAGTGAAGACCATTCCATCCATCCCTACTCCACAGCCATGAAGCTTCACAGGCTGTTCGCAGCCCCAGAGATTCCTTGTCCTGTATTGTTGCATGAATTTCAGTGTTGTGTTTTGTTGTGTGACTGTTATGCCAGTTATCCACCATATGGCTCTACTGGGTGGATGGCGGGGTATAGGTGAGGAACACGAATACGTAATTAAACAAATGTGCATCTACATTAATATCTACTACTTTCCTCCCAACTCTGATTTTCACCCAAAGGTGTAGCAATGCTTGAAGGGCCAATGTATGCGGTTGGAGGCCACGATGGATGGAGTTACCTCAACACGGTGGAAAGATGGGACCCTCAGGCCCGGCAGTGGAATTACGTCGCAAGCATGGCAACACCAAGGAGCACTGTGGGGGTTGCAGCACTGAACAGCAAGTATGCACAACACTCACAGATAAGCTCAGTTGATTAGACTGTGTTGCCGATAATGCCAAGGTTTCAGGTTTGATCCCTGTATGGGATAGCTGCATTGTAGGGGGTCGAACAAGATGACCCTCAGTGTCTCTTCCAACCATAGCTGTCAACCTTCCCTTTTTTTTGCGGGAAATTCCCTTATTCCAGCGCCGTTTCCCGCTTCTTCCCGCTGCTATCTCGGATTGTTAGATATCCCGTAGACTGTCCCCGGGACAGGTAAGGCTGCTGATCCCTTATTTTTGAGGCTGCTGATCCCTTATTTTTGAGGCTGCTGATCCCTTATTTTTGAGGCTGCTGATCCCTTATTTTCAAATCTGAAAGCTGACAGCTATGCTTCCAACTCTACTATGATTTTATGATTAACCCTGAAGAGACACTGCCAGTCCGTGTAGACCAGAGATGGAGAACCTTTGGCCTTTTGGATGTTGTTGTACTGCATCCCCCACCCATCACCCTTAAGCATTGGCCATGCTGGCAACACCTGATGGGAGTTCAACAACATCTCGAGGCCCACATATTCTACATCCTTGTTGTAGAGCAAGATGAACCGATGGCATGCTACCTGCGTCCTTCCTTCAAAATGTGGGCAATTAGACAAGATGCCTTCATGTCTTGCTTGTCCTGCTGTTATAGGTTGTATGCTGTTGGCGGGCGAGACGGCAGCTCCTGCCTGAAGTCCATGGAGTGCTTTGACCCCCACACAAACAAGTGGAGCATGTGTGCATCCATGTCAAAGCGGCGTGGAGGGGTTGGTGTTGCAACCTACAACGGGTTTCTCTATGCCGTGGGTGGCCATGATGCTCCTGCTTCGAATCACTGTTCTCGGCTTTCTGACTGCGTAGAAAGGTAGGGGCATTTTTAAAAATTGTTACTGCATGTATATAAACCTCCTTTTCTTCAAGGAGGTCAAGGTGACATACAATATTCCCCAACTCCAACCCTATGAGGTAGTTCAGGATGAGAGAAGGTGACTGGCCCAACGTCACCCCAGTGAGTTTCATGCCCAGGTGGGGGTCTGGTCACCATCTCAGGCTGTAACCATTATGCCACACAGCCTAAAGGAATTAAGTGATTGAAATCTTCCTTTGTGCATTGAAACAGATGTTTTAGGTTTAAACAACATGCTGGATTTATCAGGTATTCGCCAGAGAAAGTAATTTAGTAAATTAACAAAATTAGGGATGCAGTTAGAGGGCCTCCCAAAGAATGAAAGTTCAAATTAGGGAGGTGATCATACTCTACCTGTGTGCCGCTTCGTACATTGATAGATTCTTACTGGAGGTGCGGAACTTTCTGGAAGCCACATATGTGGGCAGGACGATCAGGGCCGTCTTAAGCATATCCAGCGCCGTGGTGCAAAGATCCCTCTGGCACCCCCCCCCTTTCCCAGAGTTGTCAACCTTTCCCCAAGCCTCTGCAGGGATCGCTCTCCTCCCGCGGAGGCTTGGGAGGCAAGCTGCATGCCCGCCAGCCATATGGTTGACGCGGCACAGCTGGCAGCTGTGCAGGGAAAGGGGAGGCCGCTGGCAAAGCCATGCAGCTCCCCCACTTGCTGGGGCGCCCCTGAGAGGCCAGCGCCCTGGTGCAACGTGCCACTAACCCAATAGGAAAGACGGCTCTGAGGACCATAAGCAACAATGCATATAAAATCGACATTTATACAGTAGGCTAGGTCCTACACACATGCACACACTCTTCTTTATTTTCCTTCCATGGTAGCGAGAAGCAGGATCCGTATTCGAGGACATATTCAAGGCAGGCAAAAACACTCAAGGAGGATGCAAAACAGAGTCAGTGGCGGATAGGGGAGAAGTCCTGAGGCCCAGGCAGAGAGGCTTGGAGGTCTGAATTTGGGCCTGAGGTTTCCCACCCCTGATTTATCTGAAGCAAATGCTGCTTCTCTTAATTCCAAATGTATGCTGTATGCACACTTTCCATCTAACAATGAATGGTAGCTTTGATTTATTAAACTGCAAAAGGCTTCTATACTAAGAATCCATCAATTTCTTCAAAAGGCAGCTTGCTGATATCTAAAATTCCTTAAAGCGTGCACAGACTAAAACATTTCTATGAATTATTATAGCCATCCAGCAAATAGTAATAATAATAATAACAATAAATGCTTGGCTTTTTCTTGAGACATTTGCTTGATGTCCTCTAAATGGAAAGGGAATAAAGAATGGGTGATTGGCTGTCACTGTTGCTGCTGCATGCTTCAACTCAGTCATTTTATATTGTGACGAAGAAGAAAGGACTAGATCATAAGTCAAGAGTGCCATCTTGTGGCTGCAGGAAGCATGATTATATTTCTTCCTTTCTCTTGAGAACCTTTACCAGCTCAGGTTTGGGGGACCGGGTGTGGGGGGAAGTTTCCTCAAAGCAGTGTCACTCCTGCCTGTTAATCTGGATGCCTTTGTTTTCTCTTTGATTACTCTTTGCTGCTGCTAGGTATACCTACTGCCCCAATGCCATCGATTCCTTCCTCCTAGATGGCAAACGTTGCTTCCTTTTCCTGCCCTCACTCTGATTATTCTACCCTGAAGCCTAATCAGAGTGAGGGCACAAGTGGGATGTGACATGTCCTGTCTAGAGAGGAAGAAACAGAAGGAACTTTGCAGGGGTGGGGAGGGGAAAGAGAAAGTATCATGTAGTATAAGAGATGAAGATGAATGCTACTGGGTATATAATTCACCCTCTTCAATTTCCCACGCCCAAATCACCAAAATGGCCCCTTCCAATGGGGTACTGCAGCTGAAGGAGGCATTTAAGCTTAGTTATTTTATTTATTTATTTATTCTACTAATAACTGCAAAGATCTACATAAATACTCTAGGTATGATCCGAAAACAGACACTTGGACCACTGTAGCACCTTTGAGCGTACCCCGTGATGCTGTTGGGATCTGTCCTCTTGGAGACAGGTTGTACGCAGTGGGTGGTTACGATGGACAAACCTACCTGGATACGGTGGAATCTTATGATGCACAAAACAATGAATGGATAGAGGTAATTTGCTTGTTATTGCATTTATATCCCGCTTTCCCTCCAAGTAGCTCAAGCTGCTTTACATGGTTCTCCTAACCTCCCCTTTTTGTTCTCACAACAACCCTGTGGGATAAATTATGCTGAGAAGATGGTGGCTAGCCAAAGGTCACCCGAGGAGCTTCATGGCTGAGTGAGTCTAGCCTGCTTACAGCTCCACTACCCAACACCATCTTGCCTATTGCCACTAACCAAGAAATGCCCACCTGTCTCTATTGCTCTTCCAGATGTACCAACCCCAGCTGCTCCAGGGTCTCCCTTTCTCTCAAATGTTTCCCTGGCTGCCCCTTCTGCTTGAGCATGACTCCCAAGATACCTCAAGTGCAATTATCCTGTAAAGCCTTTGGTACAAGCCTTTAAGTCTTTACTCTACACAGAAACGGAACTTTAGTGTGTGTAACTGCATTTCTCCCATATTAGTTACTTTGCCCAAGTCTTCCTCCCCCCCTGTCAAAGTTTACATTATAAGGGGCTTGGGGCAGGGATCTACCTTTTTGTCTATGTTCCTCTGTAAGGCAATTAATAGATAAGCAGCAGTTTTTAAGCAGAGGTTAGATGGCCATCTTTCAGGGATTCCCCAAAAAGTACCCCTCCTTTAACACCCCATACACCCCAACAATAGCCCTAGCAATAACAACATACAGTGGTACCTCTAGTTGTGGACACAATCTGTTCCGGGGTGCCGTTTGCACCCCAAAAAGTCTGCAACTAGAGTGGCGCTTCTGTGCAAGCGCGGAGCACGATAGAGCAGTTCTGCGCATGTGCGAAGCGTGCAGAACACTTCTGCGTATGCGCGGGGTTTGCTGTGTTCGCAAGCCAAAAAGACCCAACATGAACCTAACGCAACACGAGGTATGACTGTAGTATTTAGAGGGAAATTACATGCTGTTCTTAATTAATTTAGATCATGGCTGGGGAAACTTTCACCCTCGAGGTGATGCTGGGCTCCCACCATCCTTGGCCTGGAACCCAGATGGAGTTCGGGTTTGACATCCAAAGGGCAGCAGTCCCCCTCCCACCGATTCAGAATGGCATGTTAGGTGGAGTTAACAGAGCACATTCTGGTTGGTTTTTTTTAGGAAGTTCCAGTCAATATAGGAAGAGCCGGCGCCTGTGTTGTAGTCGTGAAGCTGCCATAACAGAGCATTTCCAGGTGTGAAATATTAATAAGAAGAGGAGATGCATCCTTGAAAACAACACAAAGGAGGAGGAAAGACAAGGATGAGCCTGTGTGGAGCCAGAGCACGAAAATCACATTTTCTGCATTCCAAAGACACACTTGGCAGGTGTTTGATCATCATGGGTGATGTTAATCTCTATCTGTAGGGATCTGTGTCAAGAACAGCTGAGTGTGCAGCTGAAAAAGAAACCTGTATCTCCCCCCCCCCTATAATTGCTTACACTTGCATTATAAGAAGCCCTGGACAGCTTGATATGGAGAAGGAGGGCAGGGAGCCATGTGGAGCCTTGAATCCCTATTCCCTCACCAGAAAGGCGCCTTGTGTAGTCTCCTCCTCATGCACAAAGATACCTCTGCTGGGTCTTTTCTGCACCACTTAGCATCCATGAACAGTTGCCAGGTCCCCAGGACTTTGGCAGGGCTCATTGCTAATGCTTGCCTCTTTTGTGCTTTTTCAGGCTTTGCCCCTGGTTTTGATCACCATCAGTTAGCTGGATTTAGTTGCCCTTAAAGTTTCTCACAGTGCTCTTGACCTGGGGTCATATTGCATATGGAAAAATACAAGGGTAGCTAGGCAAAGCTGGCCAGTGCTGTGCGGAGCACTGCTACTGCAGCAAGATGTCCACTGATGGAAGGCAGTGCTGAGAGGACACAATGTTCAGGGCCACTTAATGCTTGAGCTGACCCTGATTCTTTGGATTCTGTGATAAATCTAGACCAGGAGTTGGCAACTTAGCACATGTTGGCACTGTGGTGGCTATGCAGCTATGGAATCTCTGAGCATCCCCCTGTCACTGTCCCCATGGTCATAAGGTAGCAAGGGGGTTACTTTCTTCTCCTTCCAAAAGTAAATATGGTTGAAGGAGGAAGTTGGAAAAGTGCCACTCTTTCTCACATCCTCTTTCAACTCTAAGATTTTGTGTGTGTGTGTGATTCAGATTAATTGTATTGGTTCTAACTTTGACCCAGAACCCTAGTAGAATATCTCTCTCTCTCTCTTTCTCTCTCTCTCTCTCTCTGTGTGTGTGTGCGCGCACATGTGTTTCATCTTTTTTGTCTTTGGGTGGGGAGGTGCTGATCTGGGAGAGGGTGGGAATGCAGCCCTTGCTCAAAATGTGGCCAATAGTCATAAAAAAGGGGTCAGTGGCTCCTAATATAGGCATTGCTTACGTATCACCCAATGTCTAGAAACAAGGTGGCTCCCATCTCTACCCTTCCTGAAGCATGTGCTGAGTTAAAGGGGGGAAGCAGATTGTGATTGCAGAAATAAAATACTTGGTAGGTTATAAGCAGCAACTCAATACGATACGATAATCTTTATTGTCATTGTCCCATACAGAACAACGAAATTGAAAAATCTACATAAAACATTCAAAACCTAACAGGCCTTCTATCCCAGCTATTCCAACCTAGTTAGCCCACTAAAAACTCTGATACCCTATTTTTAAATAAAATATACTCCCATAGAGACTCCTTACACTGCGTTTAAAACCAAAATCGCATTTGGGTAGAAACTGTTTCTCAGGCGGCTAGTCCTAGTCTTTGTAACCCTGTACCTTCTTCCAGAAGGCAGAAGCTGAAAGATATCATTTTCGGGGTGCGCACTATCCTGCGCTATCTCTGCTGCTTTCTTATGGCACCTGGAAGCATAGATTTGATCCAAGGCAGGAAGAGTGCACCCAATTATTCTCTCCGCAGTCTTTACAACGCTGGACAGCATTGTTTTTCCCCTAACCGTGCAGCTCCCAAACCACACGCACAGACCATAAGTTAATGCACTCTCCACAGTACAATGGTAAAATGCCATCAACATGTCCCTTGAGAGGTTGTTTTTCTGGAGGATTCTCAGAAAATATAACCTCTGCTGTGCTCTCTTCATTAGGCCTTTGCTGTTTTCTCCCCAGGTTAGGTCATCTCGCAACTCCATTCCCAGAAATTGAAACACCGAGACCTGTTCCACGAATTTCCCCTCAATAATAAGAACACTCAAATACAGTGTCACACTGATGTTCCTGGAATTGCTAATGGAAAAATGATTATAAGACATAATTATTATGGAAGTGGTCTTTAGTCTTTCTGAACACAGGACTCTGCTAGCATGGGCCCAGTTTTTGTTTTGTAAATGTATTATATGATTACCCTTGCTGCATATAGATCTGCCCTCTTTTGTTTGCTTTCCTTCCTTCCTCTGACAGAAAAAAAAGTCACTGCAGTGCTGCTTCCACCCACATGAGGTCACGTGCTTCCAGTTCTTCAGTTGAGGACCAGTGTATTGCAAACGCATGATTGCAAATGCACCCAGAATCTCTCTGCTTTGTTGGGCAGAGACCTTAGCACCAAATAGAAGTCCTCAGGAGAAGGTGGTGCGATGTGGCAAACCTTGTCAGTTGGGCCATCCATGCTGCCCCTACAGTTCTCCCACCTGCGGCAGATCAGCCTAGGCCCCTGCAAAGTGTTGCATGTCTTGCAAGCATCAGAGTGCTTAAAGAAGGGGTGGGGAGCCTCAGGCCCAAAAGGACCCAATGAGACCCTGCTCACTGGCATTGCATCACATCACATCTCCCTTGCTGAAATGTGCCATTGAACTCTGATAGTGCCTCTTGCTTGCTTGCCTGGATGGAGGATGCACAGGTGCGTATGTGCGTGTATAGGAACTAACTTACTGTACAAAGCTAGCTTTCCCATTCATTGACCTGCTCACTTTTGCCCCTGGTTCTGCATAGCCCAGGTCTGTGGCTCATAGAAGGTTGCCCCAGAAGTTCTTTGGCTCAGAAATGTTCCTCACCCCTGGTTTAAGTAAACACAACCAACACCCAAACCCTTCCCTAACAAAACATCACATACCATCAGCTTCAAGTCTTTCACTATGGTACCTCAGGAAGGTGGCAAGGTCCCAACATTGTCCCAACAGCTACATTGGCAAAGAAAAAGCGCTTTATATGTGTTTGTATATGCATTATAACGCTGTGACACTAGATGGCACTGTGGAGTTCTGCTTTTGCTAACCCGATTTGTCATACAAAGTTTGCAGCGCCTGGGATCTAGAATCACATAGAATTGTAAAGTTGGAAGGGACCCCAACGTAACCTAGTCATCTAATGCCAACTAAGGAATGTCAACTAAGGCATCCATGACAGGTGGCCATCCAACCTCTGTCAGAAAGAATCCTGTAGACCGTAATCTGCAAGGGGTGCTGAGAGTTGTTGGGAGACCCCTATTCCCCTCACGGAGCTACAGTTCTGGAATATTTTAACAAGTAATCTCTGTTCCCAGGGAACCATGGGAATTGTTATGTGAGAGGAGTAGGGGTCTCCCGACAACTTTCAGCACTCTTTAATAGTTCATAAGATTGTCTAGGAGGAGCCATGACTTGTTTAAAGTAGTATAATACAGATTTAATTGTATGGTGTTTGTGTCCTTAGTCCTACTCAACTCAGTGGGCCTTCTGAATAAACATTGGGCTGCCTAGGACATGCTACATCAGGAATAGGGAACCTCAGGCCCAGAAGCCACATGTGGCCTCCCAGGATCACCTAGGCCACACCTCCTCCAAACCCACACTCCTTCACCTCCTTGCTTTGTTTTTGACTGGCTGGAATATGTCCTTGAACTCTGATCATGCCTTCTGCTCTGGTGGGTGGGGAACTGAGAGAGGTGTGTGAGTTTGTATAGAACCTAGCCTGCTGTATGAAGGTGAAATTCACATTTGCTGTTCTGGTCTGTTTTGCTTCTTTCCCTGCCTGCCACTGGCATGTGGCCCTTGGAAGGTTGCATAACAAAATGAATAGGTCCCTCTGGCTAAATAAGGCATTCACACCGCTGCTTTGCATGTTAGAATGGCCATGGCCAGAGAAAGGAGAGTGGGTTCATGTCTGTAGTCTTCTCCTATGTGCAACCTACATCTGCACCAGTCCAGTGGTCCCTCCTAGCTCCTAAAGAGTCTGGATGTACTTTGCACATGAAGTTTGCACATGCTGAATAAGCATCAAGGGCAGGGCCAATGGCTGCAGTTCTGCTCCCCTTTCTTTGTACGTTCATTGTAATATGTGGAGTGTTCTTAAGATTTACTTTCTGAGGTTGTGTAGTGGGTGCAGCCCTCCAGAATCCAAAGTCTATATACCACCCAAAGCGAAACCTCTCTCTCTCTCTCTCTCTCTCTCTCTCTCTGAAGGATTTCTAATGAAGATGGCACATAAAACATAAGCTAAAAACCACACAGCTGCTATTATATTAGTCACCACATGCCCTATGATTCTCGGAATTGTCTTTCCTTTGCAAATCCATCTGTGAGAACCATTTTGAACCAATTTTGCTTCCTCTGGAATAATGGCTGTGGGTCGAGACCCTGTTGGCAGTGTGGCATTAATGTAATCGCATTTGCAGAATGAAACATACACAGGGGAACTATGTATATCATATTGATATGACAAGTCTGCGACCTCAGCTGTGGGGTGCAAACCTTGTGATGCATTCCGATAAATATTCTGTTAAGTTCAGAACTGGTGTGCTGCAGGGAACTACAGATCATTAAAATAAGTGTGTTTACACTTTAATTCCAAAAGATGCTGAATACTAAAGAAGGTGATTTGAGCACTTGCTGTGGAAAGGAAAGGGCAAAGTACATAGGAACATAGAAAGCTGCTCTCCACTGAGTCAGATCACTAGTCCATTCTATCCCAGTACTGTCCACACTGGCTGGGAGCAGCTGTCCAGGGTTTTAGGCAGGGTGTCTTTCACAGCCCTAATGAGATATTGATATGTTCTTCCCAGTGGAGGCTGCTCCATCAGGGCAAATGGGGTCCTGCCCCATCAACCTCAGTCTGCCCTCACCCAGCCCCTACTCGCCTGCTTTCTTACTTGCACCTAGTCCAGGTGGTTGGCAAAATTTCCTGCTTCCTCCTCCCCCCCCTCCTCCTCCTCCTTACTCTCAGACTTGACCCTGAAAAACTCAGTATGGAG